ATTTACAGACTACGAGCTCAAACGCGCTATTCTTGTTTTTCCAGGTCTCAGTGTGTTGACATCGACTCGCTGTAACCATGACCACTACAGAAATTCTCTATGTGCTTAACTGGGTGATGGTGATGATAATAATAGGCCATATTTCACTTTATGAGCTCTTACATTTAATTATTTAGCAGACTCTTTTATCCAAAGCGACTTACAAATGAGAAGAGTAGGCTACCTTCCTCATTGTGATCATGTGATCTCTGCTGCCTGGAAATAAATAAATGTAGCCTATAAAATAAAGTCTCCTGGAACTGATGACTCTGGAATTCTTTCTTTATGTCCAGCTGAAAGCTATATTTGAGTGTTCCTCGCTTCTGTCTTTATAACAGTATTTTATCTGTCAACCATTCTTCAGATTTTTACAGCTAAGAAACTTTATCGGCAAAATACCACTTTGTCTATTGATAATTCTATGACTGAAATTGAGAAAATATTGCTAAAAGACTAAACATTTTTTATTTATGTTACATTGAGTTTGTCCTTCCCAGGAGACAGAAAATATTCTCCAGTTCAAACAGTTTTCCTCTGGATGAATACAGTAGTTGTTGATCCTTGTTCATTTATTCTAGGTCTTCCCGCTGGTAGTATTTTGAATAAATATCATAAGAGACTTTTCAGTATTTTATTTTTTGCTGCAAGAAAGAACATTTCGATGTTCTGGATCAATGAGAAAACTCCTTCGATCAAAGAAATGGCATAACCTTGTGAAAGAATTCATCCCAATGGAATTTTTGACATGTATATTACATTCTTAGACGTGGGCTATATTTCATTGGATATGGGCACCCTATTTGGACTGTTTCTCTCACCTTGGAGGATTGCTAACATTTTTCTTGAAAACTGTTGTGATGGCTCAAAACAAAAAGTGTAGTCCTGTGCATTTTTATCTTCCCTTGTAACCTATCTATTTCTTTGAGTTTATTTGATTAAGAATTGCCTGAGCTGTTGTCTTTCAGCTTTTTTCTCTATGGGAGCCGCTTTGTTTGTATGGGCATGTAAGATTGTTGGATGACTCTCTCTTGAGAGATGAGAGTCGAGTGTCTGCACCTCAACTGCTAGGCTTCTCCAGCTCTGTTGCTCTCATATCGGTTCAGGAAGCTGCTCTTAAATGACGTCACACGCAGGTGGAAGAGTAATAACTTATCCTGATTAATATATTCAAGATATCCGAGATGCTGCTGTAACATACACGGCACCTAATTACTACTTCACTGTTTTTGTTCCATGTCATTTTGCTTTATTCGATGTTCAATCAAATAAATTTGCCAGTGGTTTCAAAACAATTACTAGGCTGTAAACACCCGTCTCTGAAACACGTCAAATCTTTCAGAAGACAGGTGTTTGTTTCTAGACTCCCCCGAGAACACACTGGATGTTTCATTCTGAGTACGACACGAAGTGAGAACTTACATGGTGTATGCAACAACTGGTAGCTTAAGGTGCTTCGAATGTGCCGATTTAGGTCACGAAAGGTTTGCATGCCCACATAGAGATCGGCCAGGATAGGCCTAGTGTCTCAGGAAAGGGTCATGTGACACTGCTCAAGAAGAACAAGCAAGTTCGACTGAAGTAACCGACTCTGGTGCGGCGCCATCCGCTATGAAAGTACATGACCATGTTGTTACTAGATACTAATGTGAATGAATGTCAGCAAAATGAAAATACTCCCAATATTGTACAAAACATCAATGCAGATGAGCAGCACGATATTGTGGTGATGGCAGGGCCTAGTTCAAGTAGGTATGAGGAGCCTGTTTGTTTGGGTACAAGAAAGAGAGAGTTGTGTCTCAGCAATGACGGTAGTGCAATGGATGATGTATCTGACAAAATGATTCTCTCCCTGATTATGAATATGACTCTCAAGGAGATTCTGCATGTGTACCTGAATGTGATTCTCAAGATATGTCCATTAAAGATATATGTCCTACCTATTAAATCAAATATTTATAAAATATACAGTCTTTATGTTGTTTATAAATTAATTTGGAGATTAAATGTGAAATTATTACAATATAAAAATATTAAAAACTTTAATGTTAGGTGATTAATTAAAAATGTGTGATTAATTAGTTATTTCTTTTTTTTATAAATTGTCAGCACTAATAAAATATAATCAAACACTAAAAAACATGTGGTGCCTTTTATCATTTTTTAAAATGGTTTTCAGTTAAAAGATTAAACATTTTGCAGTACTAGTGTTATGGGACGTTGTAGAGGAATCACGAGGAACAGGAGAACAGGGATTTATTAAAGGTGAACTAAGTAACTTTTTTACCTTAACCGAACAGCTTTGGAGTCATTGTAATGTTTATATTACTGATTTCGTGTTGAATGGTGGTCGTCTCGCACCCCCCTGGTGCCTGTGAGCCGCAAAACCACCCTTGCAACTTTGGGCCGGCGGGCCTCAGTGTTAGGAAGTATCGTGTGATATCAGGTCTCGCGAGGTAACGAATTGCTTTACGGCAAAAAACAGATCTGATAAAATTCTGATAAAATGATCATCAAACAGAAATAACCCGGCACCGTATACATGTGGTGTTCGAGGTGCACATACAATACAGACAGCCGACAGTTAAACAGGGCGCGCGCAGCTCTTAAAGGGGCCATACCTTATTTCCACTCGTTACAGCGTCCATCCTACTGAACAGGTACCGGTGTACAGGGGGAGGGGATCCGGCCGTGAGTTCGAGCCATCTCTGCATGAGTGCTATTCACGACAGTACAAGTACTCCACAGCGCCTCTAGGGGTCGCTGTTTGACAAAAACGGAATTCCTACTTAGTGCTGCTTTAAAGGAAAACTCAGGAGTCGCTACATACATCATAAATCAAACGTAATACTAACGAGAACGGACAAAGACTGAATGAACTGAGGGAAACTAAATACAGAGACTGATGACAATAATGAATAGGAGACAGGTGACATGGATGAAGATAATTAACTAAACACAGGTGAATAAACTGAGGACAAACGAGGAGCGGGAAAACTGAATAGGACTAAACCAAAACACTAAGAAAAAGGGGAAAACAAAGAGTCAAACTGTAACAGTACGCCCCCTCCCAAAAAGGCGCGTCCTCGCGCCGTATAACATCAATGGGGTGGGGTGGGGGCGCCCTGGAGGCTGAGGAGGGCGTGGTCTGGAGCAGGAAGCCTCCAGGGTGGAGCAGGACGTGCAGGCGGCCAGGGCGGAGCAGGACGTGCAGGCGGCCAGGGCGGAGCAGGACGTTCAGGCGGCCAGGGCGGAGCAGGATGTGCAGCCGGCCAGGGCGGAGAAGACCCTTCGGGCGGCCATGGTGGAGATGTATGGCCCCCCCCCCCCCCCCCCCCCAAATTTTCTTTGGGAAGAAGGACAGGCTCAGGAACCGGAACAGACACCGGCTCAGGAACAGACTCTGGCTGGGCAGACGGGACATGAACAGTCTCTGGCTCGGCGTGGCTGACGTGAAGCTCTGGCTGGACGTAGATGACGTGGAGCGAAGGCGGTGAGGGCTCTGAGCTGGACGGGGCCAGCGGTGAGGGCTCTGAGCTGGACGGTGCCAGCGGTGAGGGCTCTGGCGCCGGATCAGCGGGCTCTGGCGCCGGATCAGCGGGCTCTGGCGCCGGATCAGCGGGGTCCGGGCTCTGGCGCAGGATCAGCGGGCTCTGGCGCCGGATCAGCGGGCTCTGGCGCAGGATCAGCGGGCTCTGGCGCAGGATCAGTGGGCTCTGGCGCAGGATCAGCGGGCTCTGGCGCAGGATCAGCGGGCTCGGCTTGGCTGGACGGAACCAGCGGTGAGGGTTCGGCTGGGCTGGACGGAACCAGCGGTGAGGGCTTGGCTGGACTGGACGGAACCAGTGGTGCGGGCTCGGCTGGGCTGGACGGAACCAGCGGTGAGGGTTCGGCTGGGCTGGACGGAACCAGCGGTGAGGGCTTGGCTGGACTGGACGGAACCAGCGGTGCGGGCTCGGCTGGGCTGGACGGAACCAGCGGTGAGGGCTCGGCTGGACTGGACGGAACCAGCGGTGCGGGCTCGGCTGGGCTGGACGGAACCAGCGGTGAGGGCTCGGCTGGACTGGACAGAACCAGCGGTGCGTGCTCGGCTGGGCTGGACGGAACCAGCGGTGAAGGCTCGGCTGGGTAGGCACAATGTGCGGGTTTAGCAAAAGCAGCACACTTGCGGGCCCCACGGACAGACATAATGGCTGGATCAAACATTTTCAACGCCAGATAAGCGCTATTCGACACCAGTTTCCGTGACCTAGGCCAGGTGATCTCAGCTATGGGTCCGGAGCGGTGATGGACCGTTTCCTTTCCGGGCCTGGTTGGACTGACTGGATGCCTGGGTTTGGCTGGGCTGGAGAGACGGGCAGACTTGGGATTGGAGATAGTCCAGGTGGGGATAAAGCTATCCCAACACGTGGCGATCGCATCCCTCCAGTCCATCCCAGTGATGTCTGGTAACGGTCGTGCGTCGATGTACTGGATCACGATCTTGTAACACCCTATGATGGTGTCGTCTCCCAGGGTACTGTCCATGAAACTGGTCCGTGAATTCAAACAGATCACGGCTGTTCATGGCCAGAGCTGCGATCTGATCCCAACGCCGAAGGGACAGGGTTGGAGCTTTTCCCTTCTTTTTTTTTTTTTTTTTTTTTTTGAAGGTCCGTTCTTCTGTTACGGGACGTTGTAGAGGAATCACGAGGAAGACGATGAGGAACAGGAGAACAGGAATTTATTAAAGGAAAACTCAGGAGTCGCTACATACATCATAAATTGAACGAGAACGGACAAAGACTGGAAACAAAGAGTCAAACTGTAACAACTAGGGTACCATGTTGTAGCAAAAAAAAAAAAAAAGAAAGAAGTGCGACCAAATGATGTGCTGGTGCGACCAACTGAGAAAGTTGGTAGCACCAGTGCAACCAGTGGAAAAGTTAGTCTGGAGCCATTATAGAAATGCGTAATCTTTTTATTTTTGTCTCTACACAGCTGATGATTGTGAAAAAAGTGCTGCTTCCATCTATTCATCAGTATAGATGACCAGTTTCTGTCTGACTGACTTGCAGCCTTTAACAGCAAAGATTCTTTCTTTTTTGGGGAAGAAGGGCATTTCTCTCACCACTCCATATACCAGATCATGAAATCGTTGTATTTTTAGATGGGCAATCTCAGCCAGGATACACTTGCGCACATGTTTCTGCTCCAGAGGTAAGAAAGGAATATAGTGATCAACCAGATGATGATCTATGAGACTGGAGTGCTGAAATCCACCTGTAAAACATAGAGGAACACATTTTACATATGTAATACATACAAGAATGTAACCAGGGAAATCAAATGTATAATTTAAAAATAAATAAATAATAAAACAGTTAGGAATATATATATATATTGTATATAACCTTTATATATAAATTACCTTTTACATGTAAAACTTAACAAAACATATTTATATAAATATACATTAATAATCTTAATTTTTTTGCCATTTTTTATGTTTACATAAATATATATAGATCAGAAAATATATTTCAATGCTCTTTCAATACCCTCCTCATTGAAGATGTTTAGAGAGATTTTTTTCTCCAGTTCATTGCTTTTCATCCTTATCTCTTCCCGTTTTTTGCCTTCTCTCCAGAAATTCAGAGCCATGTCGACAATCAAACTCCCACCTGCATTACTACAAATAACCACAGCGTCTCATTAGTTGGGTCGTTCTTTTGAGAGAGTAAAGTATTTAACTCTGCTTGAATCTAACAATTACTTTTTTTACCTGAGAAAAATGAAGATTGCATTGTGAAATGATACTCCATCTACATGGGCATTGTAGTCCAGAAAAGGTTTTAAGGTGTCAATCAGCTGAGGATTCAACTTGTCCATATCATCAAATATGAACATGGAGTGGGGGAAACTTGATACATTTCCATGAATCCACTGCTTTAGCTGTGTCTGGATATACAAAACATACAAGTACCAGTTAAGATGATTATTTAGTTAAGATGTTTTTTTAGTTAAGATGATTTTTTTTTTTCAGTTTAAATTGTTAGTCTTAGTTTATAAAGCCTGTCATGGCCCCGCACCTAAATACCTCGCTGAGTTAGTGCAACCATAGTTCCTGCTCGGACCCTTAAATCTAGCAATGACAATTTGCTTGTCATACCCAGGTATAAACTCTCTACTGTGGGTGGTAGGGCTTTTAGTGTTGTAGGCCCTAAGCTGTGGAATAAGCTGCCGTCTGACCTTCGTGCCACCCCTAACCTACAGACCTTCAAATCTCAACTTAAAACTCATATATTCACCATGCTCAATAAATAATTATTTTCCATTCTATTTCTCTGTCCTCCACGTTTTCATTTTTTATGTTACATGCTTTCTTTATCAAAATTTATGTCTTCTTTGTTTATCTAACTTTTTATGTTAATTATTTATAGCTATTGGTTGTCTCCATCTGCTTTTCTGTTTGTTTAATTATTATAACAAGCAGATTGCTTGTCTCTTTGTCTGTCAACTGTTTGTATTATTTTGTGAAGCGACCTTGGGTTCTTGAAAGGCACTATAAAAAATAAACATTATTATTATTATTATTATTATTATTATTTAAAGGCTACAAATACCACAGTTAAGATTAATCTTAGTCACAAGGCCTAGCTGTTGAATTAAACTGATCTTATTGGAATATACATTATTGACTTACGCTGTAGAGGTCTGACTTTACTTTGTGTGGGAAATGATGCTGAGATATAAATGTGTGAACATGTTTGCTGTTTTCCCCTTTTTCGTACACATTTCTTGCGATGATTTTAGCAACATGATTTTTTCCAACTCCTGTAGTCCCATGGAAAGACAGAACCAGCGGTTTGTTTGGGTTTCTGTCAGTCATAAATGACGATACAGCTTTTAATACAACATCCGACACGATGTGCTGGCCAAAGAGAGATTTATTTAAATCTGCCTTCAAACCTGAAAGATGTAAAGATATGTGAAGTCAAAAATATTTTTGCAGTTTGCAATGATAATTTATGGCCAACTAAAAATGTATACTACAACTTATACTATAACTCAAATTTATATGGGGCTATGCTGGTCCTAACTGGTCAATTTTCTCATGAAAAACTAGACATAGTATATGAGAGTAATGTTAACATTTAAAATAAGAAATGGTGAATTTCAGAAAGTGAATTCTTAAGAAATATAAAAATACAACACTTGCCACATGTATTATGCAGGATAAAAATGTATCATACTCTTTCCAGCCCCTCAAAAAACTTTTTTTACATTGTTGGGTAAGTTTGTGACATTCGGAATCACCATATCTTTTGGAAAAAAACAACAACAAAACATCTTTATCGTAAACTTAACTCCACTATACATACGATAGGCCTACATTATTTTTTGGTTTTACTCACATTTAGGGTCAAAAGTCAGCAAACCATCCTGTTTAGAAAACATGTTGAGCAGACCCAGATAACATGATGCAAATGTTATATTAGACACCAGAAATAAAATGAAAAAATGCTGCGCTTTCATTGTGGAAGCGAATCACTCAGGTCTCTTTCAGTCTCTGTTTCGTTTTCTGAAGAAAGTCGGAGGAGAAATTATGAATTAAGGTGACTGAAACTGATACGCTTGTTTACTTTCGTTTTTCATTGACGTCATAAAAGAGGCGTTAACGAGAACAACAAATAAAAAGTGTGAGAATAGTGAACCTAGGAGGTGGTTGTTCAAGAGGCAGATCACCTGGACAGAAGGCAGTAAACGGGTAGTATTGCAGCCTGTTGCTTCTGGACGCACTCCAGTGAGTCAGGGAAAGGAGAATTATCGTTTTGTACCTGCATATCTTCACACAAGCCTACTCCGGTCTAAGCATGTTGGCACAGCTTGTCGTTCCCAAAGCACTCCTCTGTAAACCTGCGATCTGCTCAAACCTGATCAGTGACTCCACACCTGCGCTGCTCATTATCAGACTAACACACACACATTCTTAAAGCCTCAAAGCATATTTTTAATGAAATGGCTTGATGATGTTTCATAGATGTGTTTTTGTTTTATGCTTTTTTGTTGTGAAGTTTTGTTCTTCATTTTTTCTTCTTTCCTGTAAAGTATTTGGGCCATTGGGGAATATGTATTCAATATTTAGTAATTACAAATTAATAACTATTGATACGGGTTTGACCCAGATAACAATACATGTTAAAAATCACCCGTCAAAGGGGTTACGTTGCCAATCTGTTATGAACGACCGAATATAATGGATGTATAATCAATTATTCATACAGATCGGCAAGATAGATCAATTGTATTTATCAATAATCAAATCATAACGAATTATAATTCAATATTCATATACAAATCGTCTGGAATAGATTCTCAGGATACTCCTCAATGGAATTAATTTTTATCGAATAATCTGTTTGTCCAGCAAACTGGTCATGGATCTTCATCAATTTCCACAGAGAAATTAGAGACTCGCAGGAAGAGACGATCTTTACGGCCGTAAAAGATAGCTTTCCTGTTTTGTCACAATACTATTTAAAGTATTATACCATTTCAAAGCTTGTAGCTGATCGAAACATTTAAGTGATTTGAAGTATGAGCACAGGCAGAATCAATCAATGAATATATGTATTTAATAAAGGTGATTACGTATACGGTTAATAAACGTTACAAGGAATAAATGTATTTACAAACACAATAAAACATCGAGGAAGGAGAATGCATATAGACAGAGAGAGAGAGAGAGAGAGAGAGAGAGAGAGAGAGAGAGAGAGAGAGAGAGAGAGAGAGAGAGAGAGAGAGAGCTGGTGAGTTTGGCAAAATTCATCAGACACAGAACAGTTAAGAGAGACAACTAGTCAAATCGCACCCTAATTAGGGCAGGCAATCTTAGCAGTATTTAGATCTCGGTAGGAAACGAATACTTGCTGATTATGTTCTCTCGTGTACGTGTGTGTGTGTTCCGAACCCGATCAGAGGTCCTTTCCGGCGCGCCCGTGTGGCGGGATGTTCAAATCGTCCGTTGAAGGTGTTGCCAAAGAAATGATTCAAACTAAGTTCATTTCACTCGCCGGTGAGAATGAACAAAGGAGAATACAAAAAGGAAAATAAAACTGAACTAGACAAACAAAGGAAAGATGGGTCATCGCATGAACACGAGGTCCCGATGGACCAAGGAGTCACATGATGGAGGAAGGAAGAGTCCAGAGTATGAGCGAGCGAGAGAGTCAAGCGCGCGTCACATGTTGGAGGAAGAGCAGTCCAGGGTACCAGCCAGAGAGGGAAGACAGGGGTACCAGCCAGAGAGGGAAGACAGGGGTACCAGCCAGAGAGGGAAGACAGGGGAAGACAGAAGACAGGAAGAGCGAGTCCAGTTCTCTTTAAAGGAACTGGAGTCCACACCTCTGAGGTGCGAACTGGCCAATGACATTCAACGAAACTCTTGGCGGCAAAATTCTCTTTGTCTTGTCAAAGCTAAATTATGGCCGCATTCACAGGTTTTACGATCAGTCAGAATTTGTTCAGAATCATTTAAAAGATGGTAAAACATAGTAAAATACATTTTATGGCTTGTTCAATTACATAAATGACCTTGTCAGCTCACTAGGATTCTGAACATAGGAAGAAAGACATTTAAGGAGAGTTATATTGCAAAGTTACATTAAAAGCATAATTAACTGCCCTTTTAGTTTGTTTTAAACTAACACACACTCATAGATCCCTTCATAGGACCTGGGCAATCGACAAACATAACAACATATCAAATATACCTCAGTAAATGTCTTTAAATGAGGAGAGTAGTAAAAGTTCATATATGTGTGTGTGTTTGTATCTGCGTGCATTGAGCACCCAACAGGGGGGGGGTTCTCTGGAATTCCTTTGAAGCTTGGACTAGTGAGTGGGAGAATGCAGGGTTAGTCTCTGGCGAGTGTCCCAGGGTCGTAAAAGTGTTAGGAGCAGACTTGTTGGCACCAAAGTCCAGTAATTTTCATTAATCCTAAAAACTTTGGGTTACCTTACACCACTCTTTACCTGGCCAAATGTGGAATAATAGTGGTCATGAAACATGGTGCCAGAAGTTTCGGAATAAAATATTACAGTTACAATGGCTTCATCCGCCACCGTTAAACCTAAAATCTCTCAGAGAATTGGAAGAGTTGGAAACAGAGATTCAAACTTTTCTCCACGGCCAGCGGGATAGCCGAGAAATCCGAGAAGGTGCAGTGTGCAACATTTCTGCATGTAGCAGGGGAAGAGGCAATTAAAGTCATGTTAAACATGTTTCACTAAACAGAAGAGGTGAAAGACAAAATACAAGTGCTGAAAAACAAGAGCAAAGACTTCTGTGAACCTCGTAAAAACGTACATTAGGCACGTGTTCTTCCCACGCTCGCAGGGACCCACAGAAACGATTGACGCTTATGTCACAGACCTGAAAAATAAAGCAAAAGACTGAGTTTGGGGATCTTCATCATGATTCATTAATTATGTTCGTGACAGAATTGTATGTGGCGTAAAAGGAGATCAGTTAGGAGGCAGACCTCTCACTTGAAAAAGCCATCGACATCTATAGGGCCAGTGAGATTACATCAAGTCAGATGAAAGCGCTGAACGACGAAATGGAGGTACACAGAGTCAACACAGTGAAGTCAAAGAAACGAGATGGTAAACCGGATCAGAGTGTGCTGACAAAAAGGAACATGTAAAAACTGTCAAAAGTAAAATCACTTTGCTAAAATGTGCACTTCCAAGAGCCATAAGTCAAAGTAAAGAATGTACACAGTTGAACAGAGCGAGGATATGTTCATTGGAACAGTACAGCAAGAGCAGGTCAATGATATAAGATGAACTGGATATAGGTGCAGAATGTAATGTGTTGTCGGAGAGTGCATATAAAGCACTAAACATCACAGGAAGGCTGCAGAAATCAAGCTGCAAGCTAGTTGTTTACTCAGGCCACAAGATGGAGCCATCAGGCAAGAAAGCGCTCACCTGTGAGTACAAGGGACTCGGAGTATAAGATTGCTTTTGAAATCATACAGAGAGAATCACCAGCAATTCTTGGACATGCTGCCTGCCAAAAGTTAGGCTTGGTAAAAAGGCTGTATCAAGTTGAGAAAAATAATGACATTCTCAAAGAGTTTGATGTTCTGTTTGTAGGACTAGGCTGCTTACCCGGTGAACACCACATTCAAATAAACAAAGACATCAGACCAGTTGTGTATGCTCCAAGGAGGATCCCAGTAGCTATCAGAGATAGAGTAATTGAAGAACTACAAAAAATGGAACGGGTGGGAGTGATTGCAAACTGAGTGAGGTCACATAAAAAAATAATAATAATTGCACATGCATGGACCCCAGAGATCTAAATAAAGCGATACAACGAGAGCATTATCCAATGTTACCTGTAGAAGAGGTGGTCCCAAGAATGCCAAATGCAAAGTACTTCTCAGTACTTGATGCAAATCAAGGCTTCTGGCAAATCAAGCTGGATAAAGAGAGTTCAAAATTATGCACGATGAACACACCCATTGGACGATATCGCTTTCTTCGATAACGCTTCGGGATCTCTTCAGCATCAGAGGTATTTCAAAGGTCCATAGCCCAAATGATAGAAGGCCTGGAAGGTGTTGTGAACATCATTGATGACTTATTGGTGTGGGGTGACACAGTTGAAGAGCATGTTCAAAGACTAGTGCAGTTATTGAGAAGAGCAAGAGAAAATAATCTAAAATTAAACCAGAAACAAATGCAAAATCAGAATGACAGAAATTAAATACGTCGGGCACATCCTCAGTGAGCAGTAATTCAGCTACCACCGGCTGCAAAGATTTCTTGGAATGGTGCAATATTTGGCTAAATTTATCCCCAACTTGTCTGACATCATGGAGAAAGAGACAGTATGGCACTGGGAAGATTAGTTTAAAAAAAACTCAAACAGATGATTACTCACAGTCTTACACTGAAGTTCTATGATGTCAGCAAGCCACTTACACTGTCAGTGGACGCAAGCTCAGAAGGGATTGGAGCCTTGATATTACAAGAAGGAAGGCCAGTGGCCTATGGGTCTAGAGCCCTGAGTTACTGTCAGCGCAGATACGCACACATAGAGAAAGAGCTGCTCACCATTGTATATGGCTGTGAGAAATTCCACCATCATGTGTACTGGAAAGAAAACACAATTGAAAGTGACCATAAACCGTTAGAAAGCATCTTCAGAAAGCCGTTACATCAAGCTCCGACAAGACTTCGGAGAATGCTTTTACGGTTGCAGAGGTACAATCTCAATGTAACGTATAAACCTGGTGAAGAACTACATATAGCTGATGCTATGAGCCGTGCTTATATGACAGAGCAGAAAGAGGATCTGTTGGGAGAAGAACTAGAGGTGAATTGGGTGACATCGCAACTTCCCATTTCTGAGAAAATGAAAGTTTTCAAGAGAGCCACAGCAGATGATGCTGAAATGCAAGCATTAAAGAACGCTGTCAGTGATTTCTGGTCGAAAGAGAGATCAGCTAATTGTGCCACAGCAGCTCAACAAAATACACGAGTCCCACCTCGGAATCGTGAAGTGCAAAGCAAGAGACAGAGACATATGTATTGGCCAAATATGTCGGCACATATTGAAGAGACAGTGTCTAAATGCGTGGTTTGCAACGAGAACAAAAACAATAACCAGAGAGAGTCACTGCTGCCAGGCGCATTACCTGGGCGAAAATTGGAGATGGTCCTCACTGCAGAACACGAAATCCAGGGGGAGGAGTTGGATCTGGATTACACCTTACATATACCTAAACCTACCCATCTCCACCCCCTGATCCCTAACCCCACCCCTAAACCTACCCATCTCCACCCCCTGATCCCTAACCCAACCCCTAAACCTACCCATCTCCACCCACTGATCCCTAACCCACCTCTAAACCTACCCATCTCCACCCCCTGATCCCTAACCCCACCCCTAATCCTACCCATCTCCACTCCCTGATCCCTAACCCCACCCCTAATCCTACCCATCTCCACCCCCTGATCCCTAACCCCACCCCTAATCCTACCCATCTCCACCCCCTGATCCCTAACCCCACCCCTAATCATACCCATCTCCACCCCCTGATCCCTAACCCCACCCCAAATCCTACCCATCGCCACCCCTTAGATCTGGATCCAACTCCGCCCCCTGGATCTCGTGTACTGCAATGAGGTGCTACTGAAAAATTGTGACAGATATATTTTTTATCATAAAGGGTTTGCATTTCTGTTGTGTGTGGATTACTTTTCAAAGTATCCAGAGATTAGAAAGCTCACTGACAATACAAGCTGAGGAGTGATCTTGGAGATGAAGTCCCTTTTTTTTTGCAAGACACACCATTCCAGATGTTGTAGTATCTGACAAAGGACCTCAATATGCTAGTGCTGAGTTCGATATCTTCGCTGAGGAGTGGGACTTCAAGCATATAACATCCAGTCCTGGTTACGCACAATCTAATGGTCAAGTGGAAAGGACTGTGCAAACTGTAAAAAATCTGTTGAAGATATCACAAAGTAGTAACAGTGACCCATATGCTGCACTACTTGAGTACCGCAGCACGCCAATAGAAGGGATAGGCTTGTCTTGGCAACCTGCTGTAGTCCAAAGGAAACATGAGCATCCAAGATCCTTTGTGGTCAGAACACCATGGAAACCTGTTCAGGAGAAATCGCAAACATCTAAGAAAAAAAAAAGAAAAAAGAGAGAGACCGATAAGTCAGTATTTGACAAGAGCATCGTCGTGGAAACAAGTGGTCAGCAGGATGCAGAGCAGTTACAGAAAAAATGTTTCTGATGCTCATGACAAGGAAGAGTCTCGCGCAGATGATAACTCTCATGTTGACCAATTGACCAAAGGCAATCATACCGTAATCGGGAAGATTAGTGAGAATGCCTGAGAGATACAGAGACTGAGTTTCAATAGACATGTGCTGAAATTACATTCAGAACATAGTTTATCAGTTGTAGTTATCGTAAAAATTTTTATTGGTTTTGTAACAGACTACATGTTTATGACTGTTGAATTTTGTTGTCATGGCACACAGCTGTTACAACAAGAGCAACTTAATTTACATTAAGAGTGGTAAACTGTAACAGGTTCATTCTGACGCAGGTGAACCCAAGGTGCTTTGTGTACTTTGCCACTGCTATGCTGTGATAAACTTCATTTTTGAGATCTTCGACGTCCACATAATTTTTTCTTACACTATGCGAGGCACATCATCACCAACACTGGGATATTAATGAGCAAAACCTAAAGTCAGTACCTCATTGATGTTCAACTATGTGCATTAAAGAAATCGCAAAAAAGTGAGCAACAAGTGCTGCTAAAGTCTTTTATCTATTAATCAGTATAGAGATACAGTTTCTGTCTGACAGACTTGCAGCCTTTAACTGAAAAGATTTTCTCTTTTTCAGGGAAGAAGGGCATGTCTCTGGCCACTTTATCTGCCAGATCAAAGTCTTCAGTCATGTTCAGATGGACCATCTCAGCCATGACGCACTGACGCACATGCTTCAGCTCCAGAGGTAGGAAAGGAATATAGTGATCAACCAGATGATGATCTATGAGACTGGAGTGCTGAAATCCACCTGTAAAATGTATGGAAACAAATTTCATATTCAGTGCTATGCATAAGTTTAGACACCCATGCTAAAGTTGCCTAAAAAGAGGAATAAAAAATCATCTTTTGGAAATTGATCTTAATGCCTTAATTAAAAAAATGAGGAAAAATCCAACCTTTAAGGACACCAATTTCCTTTGTGAATGAATAATGTATCGTAAATAAATAAAAGTTCTGCATAAGTCAGGACACCCCTATGTTAAATTCCCTTAGAGGCAGGCAGATTTTAATTTTTAAAGGCCAGTTATTTCATGGATCCAGGATACTATGCATCCTGATAAAGTTCCCTAAAGTACCTAGAGACTGGCATGGTTTTGTGTACTGGCTTATGCACCCTGTATTTTGAAGCCGCAGTCCGCAGTTTTTCCTCTTTGTCGCCATCTCTGTTCGAAATCTGCAATTGCAGTTATTCGCGGAATTATCAACTTTACGTGAGTTGTACTTCGACACCCTCGACACGGCACAGCGCGGATGAACACAATGTTTGAGGAGAGTGTGCAGCTGTCAGTCACCGCATCGGTGTGGATACTGTCATTCAGGATCACAGATTATTCTTTTTGGAAGTATGACCAACATAAGAATTTTCACCGGAAAATGTCATCTGAACAAGTAAGTAACATCCACTTTTGTTCTAATTCTGACATTGCAGTAAATCGCGCTGATTAAATCTAACAATCGCTTATCATATCACGCAAAACCGTGCAAATTATACTTTGTTCTCAAATTGTTCATGTTAACAACGTCAGCATTGCGTGACTAGATGTAATGTCCTTCTGATATTATCCTTGTTTTCGCATGGGTCCGGCAGTCTCTTTTTTTCACTCCGAAGTCCGAACAAAGTCTTTTGCATTTTATAACGGGTGAATCTGTTGTCACTCGTGATTGTCGTTTGAACCTTTCTGGATCCGCCATCAAATTGATAAGTTTAATTATATCAAGTGCTGTGAGAAAAGGCTCACACTCATAGCCTACTAGCCGAGACTCTTCTTTATGTGTACAGATGTGACGTAATGACTCAATATAGCCTACTAGCCGAGACTACTTCTTTATGTGTACAGATGTGACGTAATGACTCAATATAGCCGACTAGCCGAGACTCTTCTTTATGTGTACAGATGTGACGTAATGACTCAATATAGTCTACTAGCAGAGACTCTTCTTTATGTGTACAGATGTGACGTAATGACTCAATATAGCCTACTAGCCGAGACTCTTCTTTATGTGTACAGATGTGACGTAATGACTCAATATAGCCGACTAGCCGAGACTCTTCTTTATGTGTACAGATGTGACGTAATGACTCAATATAGCCTACTAGCTGAGACTCTTCTTTATGTGTACAGATGTGACGTAATGACTCAATATAGCCCACTAGCCGAGACTCTTCTTTATGTGTACAGATGTGACGTAATGACTCAATATAGCCTACTAGCTGAGACTCTTCTTTATGTGTTCAGATGTGACGTAATGACTCAATATAGCCGACTAGCCGAGACTCTTCTTTATGTGTACAGATGTGACGTAATGACTCAATATAGCCTACTAGCCGAGACTCTTCTTTATGTGTACAGATGTGACGTAATGACTCAATATAGCCGACTAGCCGAGACTCTTCTTTATGTGTACAGATGTGACGTAATGACTCAATATAGCCTACTAGCTGAGACTCTTCTTTATGTGTACAGATGTGACGTAATGACTCAATATAGCCGACTAGCCGAGACTCTTCTTTATGTGTACAGATGTGACGTAATGACTCAATATAGCCTACTAGCTGAGACTCTTCTTTATGTGTACAGATGTGACGTAATGACTCAATATAGCCCACTAGCCGAGACTCTTCTTTATGTGTACAGATGTGACGTAATGACTCAATATAGCCTACTAGCTGAGACTCTTCTTTATGTGTACAGATGTGGCGTAATGACGCAATATAGCCGACTAGCCGAGACTCTTCTTTATGTGTACAGATGTGACGTAATGACTCAATATAGCCTACTAGCCGAGACTACTTCTTTATGTGTACAGATGTGACGTAATGACTCAATATAGCCTACTAGCCGAGACTCTTCTTTATGTGTACAGATGTGACGTAATGACTCAATATAGCCTACTAGCCGAGACTCTTCTTTATGTGTACAGATGTGACGTAATGACTCAATATAGCCTACTAGCCGAGACTCTTCTTTATGTGTACAGATGTGACGTAATGACTCAATATAGCCGACTAGCCGAGACTCTTCTTTATGTGTACAGATGTGACGTAATGACTCAATATAGCCTACTAGCCGAGACTCTTCTTTATGTGTCCAGATGTGACGTAATGACTCAATATAGCCTACTAGCCGAGACTCTTCTTTATGTGTACAGATGTGACGTAATGACTCAATATAGCCTACTAGCCGAGACTCTTCTTTATGTGTACAGATGTGACGTAATGACTCAATATAGCCGACTAGCTGAGACTCTTCTTTATGTGTACAGATGTGACGTAATGACTCAATATAGCCCACTAGCCGAGACTCTTCTTTATGTGTACAGATGTGACGTAATGACTCAATATAGCCGACTAGCTGAGACTCGTCTTTATGTGTACAGATGTGATGTAATGACTCAATATAGCCTACTAGCCGAGACTCTTCTTTATGTGTCCAGATGTGACGTAATGACTCAATATAGCCGACTAGCTGAGACTCTTCTTTATGTGTACAGATGTGACGTAATGACTCAATATAGCCCACTAGCCGAGACTCTTCTTTATGTGTTCAGATGTGACGTAATGACTCAATATAGCCGACTAGCTGAGACTCGTCTTTATGTGTACAGATGTGATGTAATGACTCAATATAGCCTACTAGCCGAGACTCTTCTTTATGTGTCCAGATGTGACGTAATGACTCAATACAGCCTACTAGCCGAGACTCTTCTTTATGTGTCCAGATGTGATGTAATGACGCAAAGACATGCTTGAATCTCCCGCGGAAATCCACCAGTACCACTGGAATAAAAAACATTATTACAAGCTTACCGCTTTGAATCGAGCTAAGGCAAGCAGAGAGTTTTGAACACTGGCTGGTTATGTATTTATTTTTCTCAAATATGTATTTTGGATAATTTTAACCCACAAAAAGCTACGGACTGCAGCTTTAAGGAAGAACATTTATTTATTTACGATACATTATTCATTCACAAAGGAAATTGGTGTCCTTAAAGGTTGGATTTTTCCTAATTTTTTTTAATTAAGGCATTAAGATCAATTTCCAAAAGATGATTTTTTTTATTCCTCTTTTTAGGCAACTTTAGCATGGGTGTCTAAACTTATGCATAGCACTAATACAAGAATGTAACAATATATGTGGAGGTTTAATGGAAATTAAATGTAATAATTTTAAAAATATAATGAATAATGCCTTTTTTTATTTACCATTTCTATGAAAAACAAATCAAAAACATTTATATAAATATACTTTAAATATATACTTTTGCCATTTTTAAATTTATATTGGAAAATATTTCAATATTCTTTCAATACACACTGTTCTCATCATTTAAGATGTTTAGAGAGATTTTAGTCTCAATTTCTTTGCTGTTCATGCTGATCTCTTCCCGTATTTTGCCTTCTCTCCAGAAATCCAGCGCCATGTCGACAATCACATTCCCACCTGCATTACTACAAACAGTTTCTCATTAGTTGGGTCGATCTTATGGGAGAGTAGAGGTATTTAATTAGCACTCAGCTTGAATCAAACAATTACTTTTTTTACCTGAGAAAGATGAAGATTGCATTGTGAAATGACACTCTGTCTACATGGGCATTGTAGTCCAGAAAAGGTTTTATGCTGTTGATCACCTGAGGATGCATCTTGTCCATTTCATCAAATATGAACATGGAGCGGGGGAACCAATATACTTTGTCAAGAATCAATTTCTTTAGTGTTTCCTGAATATACAGAAAGTGCAAATGCTTATAAGAACATGCAATTTTTGTATATATTTTTTTAAGAATATGATTTACTATGTTTTTAGTATAGCAACACTTACTGTAGTACAGTAGCTATGGTTTGGGTGAAACTATTGTTGGTTCATATAATTAAAGGATCAGTAAGAGGAGTTTAATTTGTTAATTGTAATTAATTTGTGTAATTAATTATTTTTTGTTTGTGTAATTAATTTGTCCATGCTCATATTGACAAAATGTGAAATGGCCAGATGGACAGAACTAACTAGTAAAATATTTGTCTTTTGTTTATTTTAGATACAAAACTGCTTAAAGGAATAGTTCACCCACGAGTTGTACTTTGTTCTGTAAAACATTAGATTTATGCTTAAAACAAGGTAAAGCCATTTGGGATAAGACAAATAAACCCAATTAATGTATCATTAATGTATCTAGAACTTAAGACAAAAATACTGATTAATGAAATAATGTTTTGCAGTGGAAGTCATGGTATATTATTGAGCTTTAATGTTGATGACATGATGTACACGCAGCTTCAGATTCAGCTTGATCTAACCATGCACACATGTTTGGATCAAATGTGGACAAATCCAATTGTTGGTTGACATTTTTAAATTAAATTTGAAACCCAACAGTTAGGTTTGTTCATATTTGACCCAATATGAGTTGAAACCACCCAGCATTTTTTTTGCAAATCACTTGCAACAGCTAGGCTACCTATTCGCGAACTAACTATGGATTATGTAACATGAAATATGTATTTTTTTTACTTACACTGTAGATGTGTGAATGTTCTCTGTGTGGGAAATGGAGCTCCGATGTAAATATGTGAACATGTTTGCTGTTTTCCCCTTTTTTGTAAATGTTTCTTGCGATGATTTTAGCAACATGATTTTTCCCAACTCCTGAAGTCCCATGGAAAGACAGAACCAGTGGTTTGTTTGGGTTTCTGTCAGTCATGAATGACGATACAGCTTTTAATACAACATCAGACACGATGTGCTGTCCAAAGAGAGATTTGTTTAAATCTGCCTTCAAACCTGAAAGATATGTGAAGATATGTGAAGTCAAAAATATTGTTTGTAGTTTGCAATGATAATTTACACTAAAAATGTACACTGTAACTTAGAATTTATAGGCCTACAATAACTATAAATAGCAAGCACAAAACATTTACAAACACAGTAGGCTACTACCACACCTAAAACCACCACACCTGCAATAATGTTGAAAATTTCTCACGGAAAACTAGATTAAATTAGAGTGATGTTATTATAACATTTAGAATAATAAAGGCTGCATTTCAGAAAGTGAATTCTTAAGAAATCTAAAAACACAACACTTCAAATAGACTAATTTCTATATCTCTCCCTTTCGTTCAAAAAGCCCATAGGCTAAACATTTTAACCATGCACAAAAAAAAAAAAAAAAAAAAACCTTACCACATGTAGGCTATGACGCAGGATAAAAATGTATGACTAGGCTACTCTTTCAAGACCCCCCCCCCCCCCCCCAAACTTTACACATTACTGGAAAGTTATTAAAGTTTGCGAAATTAAGTTTGTGACATTCGAAATCACCGTATCTTTTGGAAATAAACAAGAAAACATCTGAAGCGTAAACCTAATTCGTCTAGGCATATATTATTTCCCGGTTATACTCACGTTTAGTGTCAAAAGGCAGCAAACCGTCCCGTTTCAAAACCACGTTAAGCACGTAAGAGCCGACAGCCGCCAACACATCCAGGAAACCTGACGCTAATGTTATATTAGACACCAAAAATAAAACGATTAAAAGATTTTGCGCTAACATTGTGGAAGAGACTCACTCACTCAGTCAGACCTCTTTCAGTTTTTAGTTTCATTTTTGAAAAGGAACTCGGGGGGAACTGACGAACATTCGGCTTCCTATTAAAACATATTTCAAATAAGCAGCTTTACAGAAAATGCATGTGTTTTTTTTTCAATTGTTAGCAAGCATCGGTCAATACTGAAGCCGCGTGTTCAAAACTCTTCACACATTCAGTGAAACAGAAGTCTGAACAATTTTCCATTGCTTTCACACAAAATGCATTCATGATTTTTGTATTGTAGGCATATCATGTTGTAATGTAATTACATACATTCATTACATGTAGCCTAATTGATGCATGTTGTAATTGTAACGTTGACATGCATTTTCTGTAAAGGTGTTCTCAACAGGGAGAATTTCATGTTGGTTTACTCTGTGCTCCAGTTTACCTCACAAAATCCAAAGACATACAGGACAGGCGGATAGAATTGAAGTTTGCCCGTAGGTGTGAGTGTGTGTGTGTGTGTGTGTGTGTGTGTGTGTGCCTGTGTGGCATCCCTTTCATGGCCCGGCTATCTGTGTTTTCGACCCGAGACGCTGGGAAAGACTCCAGCCTCCCCACGACCCTACATAGGACAAGCACTTTGGAAAATGGATGGAATTCATTGACACAGTTGGTGTAAGAATTTTTATTGACCACCAGATGGCGAAGTGGAGCACTCTGTCAAAAGCTGCGAACTTAGCGAGATATATCCATCTGCAGGCCCGCATAGATACACGTATGTATTTTATTTTATATATATATATATATTAAACACACTTATTTACAAAATCTCTCGTTGGGAGACTCGTGTGTATATGTCTATGGCAGGCCTGCAGGCGATATTTTTTTCCACAGGATGGTAGGGGAAGACTCATGAATATTCATTAGGGAACTCATCCCTGATTGGTCTTAACCCCAGTGACTGGTAGGTTTAGGGGCGGGGTTAGGGGTAGGTCATCAGACGAGTAGGAGGTCTCTGCGGAACAAAAGTGGGTGTTTCTAAATTTGTGGGTGTTTTTTCACACTGGTGGGTGATTATAAATCATGCAATGAAAATGATGCCCTTCTCCCGACCCTGACTTGGGCAAATCAGGTAACGCGGTTGAAAACGCACCTCTGTTTATGGCCTCGCCCCCTGATCTGGTAACTCCTATTACCGTCTGCAGAGACCTCTATTTGCATCAGACCCCCAGTGACGGGTAGGTTTATGGGCGGGATTAGGTCATCAGACCAATCAGGGATGAGTTCCCTAATGAATATTCATGAGTCTTCCCCTACCATCCTGTGAAAAAAAATATCGCAGCCCGCAGCACCAGAACCGGAAGTGAGGGGCGGGGCTTAAACATAATAGTTGCGCTACCGATACACGTAGGCCTAATTTTCTTTTGTTAAATATAAGCTGTTTTCACATTGATTTTGTGTCAATGTGAAACATTTCACATTGAATACTTTTTTCTTAAAGTCACGTTTCTGTTCATATAGGCCCTAATATCCATAGCCTAAGATGTAGCCTACAATGAGCAACATTTTAAAACCTAGTCTATTGATCCAGCTTAATGTCAATGAATGGATACAAAGGATATAGCCTACAACTACACCGTTTTTATTTAAAAAAAATATATATATATATATATATATATATTAGGGGTGTGCAAAGCAGCCGGTATTTGTATCTGTATTTGTATTTGTTGAGGGGGGAAAAGTATTTGTATTTGTATTTGTATTCGAGTAAAATTCCAAATAGGCGTAAAAATACTTTTTTTTTTTTGCGTTACACTTCTAATTTACGTTATAGTGTAAGACATTATATATTTATACTAAGAATACTTAGTATTCTTTAATTATATCCATTATAATAATTATGGATATGCAAAATTGGTTGATGTTTTTCCATAAATCCAGCAATGAACATGTAACAAGGAACGTCATTGAAAAGATAATAACAATATGATATAATAAAATGCTTCCACACAGAACTTGAGCAAGTTTTTTTGGCTGGTGGAGGACCAAGAAAGAATATTGTCGTTCTGAGACCATTTACATCTAAAATAATGATAATGGCATAATAATGCAAAACTTTTATTTCTAAAGACTATTTAACACTGAAAATGGAAAACATTTTAAATATCCACAATAAATGAACAAAACAACCAAAAACAATAAAAGCAATGGACTCTCAGTCTCTGTTAACAAAAAATGCACTTGAATAAATACCAAAAACAATAAATAAAATGGATGTAAACAAAACCTGACCCTACCCTATGATAAATTATTTTTTATTAAAGCATTAACACACAAACCACTGTTAATTTAACATAAAAGCAAGCAGCTACTGCGTGCATGGTCTGGCATGACTGAATGCGCTCAAAGTGCGCTCCCTTAATAATCCCTAAAAAGCTGACAGTTCATCGCGATCTCACACATCTCTGTTATTATCAATGAATCTTTCATAATATCCACACTTTGTTTGTTATAATTAGAGGATGTACCAGCATACATAATTCAGCACTGAACAAAAAGTCCGTTTTGAGCGGTGAGGGGAGTCTATCTTAAATGCTTCTGATTGGCCAATTGCGTTCAAGAAATCAACACATATGTCTGTGATTGGCTACATCGCTCAACGCTGCAAACATGTTATGAATAGAAACTCTGGCCTGTAAATCGTTTCTATTTTGTTTTAGTTGTTCTTGTTGCTTTTCTGCAACAGATGAATACAAATCTATTAGTCTGTATATGTTTTATTCATAGATATTTCTAGTTTGCGGGAGTCCCGCGAATCGTTTTATTCTCCCGCAACCCGCACACACAGAGTGAGTGCATTACCGCCCGCGCCCGCGCTCGCGCTCGGCCATCAGATCTAGTCCCGCGCCGCGTCAAGATTCGCTTCCCGAAAGTTATAAACTGCCTCCGGAACCCAGTTAAGGTACAAAAATCTATTCAACAAAAATAGTGATGCAGTTAAGTGTTTTTCGCTCGGCCGAGCCCTCTCTGTTGCTGTGTGGAGCAGCCTGTGTCAGTCACCTCCTGAACGTCACTCACTCACTCTAACGGGCATGCACTGCAGTGCGGTCTCACGAGGAAACGCAGCTTTTTGATATAAAGTTTTTCTTGTTCCCGAATACAAATATTTTTAAAGTATTTGTTCGAAATAAGTATTCGTAAAAAACACGTTATTTGTGCCTTTCCGAATACCGTATTTGGGTTCGGCTCCACCCCTAATATATAGGCCTATATATTTAAAAATGTGTAATGTTGTAATTAAGTGTTTCCCATTTGACTGAGTGATAGTAGGCCTATTATTTCTTTCACGTTCATGTTGTTACAAATAAGTATGAAAATTAGAGGTGGGCATAGATTATTTTTTTTAATCTAGATTAAAATGGCTCATTTGAATTCTCCCGAAGGCATTCAGAATATGTGTGCTACCCAAATAATGACTAAAAGTAAGTCTTTTTCAGAATAGTTTGCCTCGCGTAGGGATGTGCATTTCTGCCAAAAATGCCATTCGACAATCGAGGAGCAAAAGTCGAATATCGTTAAAAAACAAAAACACAAAAAAAACGCAATGACAGAAAGGGAAGCCAATTTCATCTTTAGCGATTTGTCATCAAACAAACTGTTTATTAATTGAACAAGTAACATGTTTTCGTCCTTTTTTTAACATGGCTAATTGGAAGAAGAAGAAAAACAATACGCACGACAGTCCGTTTTTGCATCGCCAATGCTCGTTAGATCAAAAAATAATGTCATCATATGTCATAAGAATTTTATGTGAACCTGCCTTGTTACTGCAATAGCCTCATTTTTAAACAAATTAGTTTCAATCAATGTAAACTATTCGTGTGATTATCCCACTGCGCAATACACGCGCAATACACACACATGCATTACCTGAATGAAATGAAATCGAATGTATCGTCCTGTGGAATCATTCATTCACAGACAGCTTACGAAGATGTTCAACTAATAAAGATCTTCATCGCTGGCAAAAATATGATGCATTTGCAGATTTGCATTCACTAGACTAGACTGTAGATCGGCCACTTCATCCAACGCTCTTGATGCTCTTAAATCTTCCTGTTTCGACTCCGAGTGTGAATTGAAACTTGAAAGCGCTTCAGACGATTCAGTGCGCGAGGAACTGAACAGATCAACTGATTCGCGAACCGATTTAGACAGATCATCTGACAACTTGATGAACTCTTTGAACAGAATCGATTCAAAAGAGTGAATCATTTGTAAATGAGCATCGCTCATGCCCATACAAAGGACACAGCGCGCTTGGAATAAACTCATTTAACAACGTATTGCATTAAAATAAAGTAACGAGAGGAACGTCGCCCAACGTAACAAAGTAAAAGTAGGCCTACACCTTGTGTCCCTGACAGGAAAATACCCTACTGCGCGATCTGTGACAGTAGGCGCGGCGTCATACTACACATTAGAATTGCGCGAAATAACGATATTCGAAAAAGCTATTTATGATCCCAACCCAACTTTGATTAACGGCAATATTTTTTTAATCGCTCGATAAGAGTCTCACGTTAACGCATCACGTTAACGCCGATAACGGCCCAGCACTAATGAAAATATTAATTTTAATGGATATTACGTCAACGATTCTACAACTACAACTTTTTTATTATTTTAAAAAATATATTAATAAATGTGTTACATGTTGTAAAGTGTTTCCCATTTGACTTTATATTTGATCGTATTAATTCCTTCATGTTAAGTTACAATACTGAGATGGCGTTTTTAATGTCAAATAAAAATAACCATTTAATACAAAGCCTTGAACAAGTGAAATCTCAGTCTTTTCATCACTGAAAACAAAATGAATACATAATATTAATAAATAATTATTTAGGCTATACATTAATATGAATAATATTTTTTGACAAATGCAAAAAAAAGAAGCTTTATTGATAAAATGTGAAAGACGTGCAGATTTTTTTTTAGCAGATGAACACGTAAAAGAATATTTCACTTAAAAATGAACATTCTGTCATCATTTACTCACCCTCAAGTTGTTTCAACCCTGTATGAATATCTTTCTTCTGCTGAACACAAATGTGTTTTTCTCTATGACAAACAAATAGGATATTTAAAAGAATAGGTAAACGGCTCATAAAAAATAAAACATGCAAACAACAAATAATCATCTTAAAACACAAAACCTGTTGACTCTTAAGCCCATCATGGCATTTCTGCAGAAAACCCCTCAAGTTGTTTCAACCCTATGAATTTCTTTCTTCTGCTGAACACAAAAAAGATATTTTGAAGAATGTCGGCAAACAGTTGATGGACCCCATTGACTTACATAGTATTTTTTCTTCTACTATGGAAGTCAATGGGGTCCATAAACCTATGGCCATATGGTCATGCATGAATGCTATGTAGTTTCATGGAAAATGAACTAATTGTAATGGCCATAGCTGTTTATTCCTCTTCATGCAGAGTTTAGCTCCAACACGCCTGCCTGGAAGTTTTCATTGATCCTAATGACCACAGGACCTGAAGTGGGACACTCACAGTGCGAGAGAGGGGGTTCAGCAAGAGATCAGCAAAATTATTTACATTTTGTTTCTTATATTATATCTTGTTTTATTTCATTTCTACGTGTAATTCCTATGTAGCCGATGTCTGTACTTTCTTCTGCAATGGAAGCTCCTGTCACAAAGGAGCACAAAGTGTAATTCCAAAAGACCAATTGCTTGTGTGTGTAAACAACATACTTGGCAAATAAAGCTCATTCTGATTCTGCTGATGCCCAGCGGGTGGAGCCAACAAGTAACGTATTCAGTCAAGAGTGCAGATGAATTTATAAACAGATACCGCTGGGGGGGTAAATACATTGAACCTCGATTTCAACATCCACAAAAAGTCATCATTTTGTAAACAATATCTCAAAATAGTATATTCAGGTTAACATAGGGACATTAAATGTGTCAGTAAGAAACTAAAAAGTGAGTAAAAAAACGAATAAGAGCCAGGAAGCAAACACATTGAGGTAAAATGATTATCTCTCTCTGGCGCCTCTAGCGGCTGAACTCAGATTTTGCAGGATCTCTTGACTAAAGGTGATTTGAATGAATCAATGGGAAACGCTTTCCATGGCTGAAACAGACTCAGAGTAGAGGGAGCAGCCCCAGACAAAGCGGCGAGAAACTTTCACGCTGATAATCACCAGTCCTGACTCACCAAGCATGGATTTACACCAGACAGAGCTGGTGAGGTAGACTCGGCACCTTTCTGCGGGGATGAAAGCGACATTGGAGTGAATTTGAAGTCCTGCTGCTGCTGAATGGACGAGCTTATTTTCTCTCTGAGGGTCGATCATGAAGCTTTACAATGCAACAGGTTAGTGAGGAGTGAGTTTCGATAATGATCAATCATCCACTAAATCAAATGCGATCACTGTATCTTATTGGTGAATTAATCTTGTTGTAGTCCATGTATTAATCGCTAAGGTGCATAAGTAAACAGCATGCACGCTTAGCCGTTGAAATTACAATGCAACATAATACTGGAGATCAAAGGAGATGCAGCCAAATCTGGCCTGTTATGCAAACCTGGGTCTGCATTTATTATGTGCATGCAGTGCTAATATATTGTGGACCAGTGACAAGGATTTATGAAAAAGAGAAACTACTTTTTAAAATCTAGTTCAAAACATTTGGCAAGTTCTTAGAAATATAATTTATGTTGGTTTCAATGAAATGTAAATGTGAATTTCAAACATTTTAAAACTATTTTCTACAATTTTCTACAAAAGATTTAATGACTGAAATGTCAAGTGTTGTTAACACCTGTGTAAAAAGTGTTGTTAAAAGTACTCTTATATAAAAGTATACTTTTAAACACTTTTTAAAATATGATTGACAACTTAATATTACTTAGTATTAACAACATTTGTTTTTGTCAATATTTCAGCCTTTTTTATTGTAGACTTTTCTTCTTCTTTACAATTTCTGGACAGTCACACCATGTTAACATTTTTAACTTTAAACCAGACGAAAAAATATCAGCATTACATTTAATTCACAAATTGTATGCTCTTATATTGAATGTTTTTCTGAATAATTTAATATATCCAGAGAGAACCAAACTAGCATTATATATTTATATTTGTATACAGTATATTTATATTTTACTTTGCTGTGTGACCAGATGCAACAGCATGAACTGCAAACTGTAGCTAACTTCCATACAAAGTATTCATTAACATTAATTGTATTGTATATATCTCCAGGTTAACCTAGTTTGATTAAAGAGATAAATACTGCCAGGGGTGTTTGTAGATCTCATTCCAACTTCACTTCACAAATCTGGTCGTAATATTGACAATTAGATGCTTACCCAAATTTGGGTGATGTGTCCCATCTGGTATCTATGCCCCTGGCAGTAAAAGTTGTTCATTCTCCAATCATCATGGCAGGAGTCGTGTGTGACCGCTGGTGACCCCCCCACCAGCTGTTTCAGTGTGGATTTCTACCTCAACACAAAGGACGTAGAGTAAAGGCGCACATCATGGTACCCAACAAGTGGATTATGCATCCAGGTCTTCACAAATCGCCTCCTAGAAGTTGGCTTGGCATCCGGCTACGTCTCAGTAAGTTTGTGTTTTCCTCTGACTTTTATGAAAAAAAATGTTTTTAAATGTCATGAAAAATGTTAGCTCCTAATGACTTGACAGATGAATGACTTCAATCGGTCTGTCTTGGCGCTCTTGCATATTCATGTTTCTGCATAACTTTTTAAGTTGAACAAATAATTGATGTTGATGCTTCAAATCCCATAAACAAGTCAGCCAATAGTCATGGTTTGACATTAAAGGAATTACATATTATATATGCCACCAATGTAGCATATGTAGCACTCTCTGAACATAGTTTAGTAAGTATTGATTGGTTGAAATGTTAAGCAATTGCAATTGGTCCTGTGTGTGTTTGTGTATGATGTATTCATCCGGTGGAATTATAAAAATGAGTTACAGCAAATCCCTTATCTGTTTACATAATTTAAATATTAGGGAATTTTAATGTTTAATTGGTTGCGAATCAGACAAGTTAAGTGGCCTCTTCTTTATAAAATTCGAAAATGACGATATTTTTATGCATTTTATGATATTTTTTTGCATTTCTGATAGAAAGGTGCATTATTGATTACTGGTTTTGGCCAAAATATTTAAGATATTCTGGTCCCTAGATATGGCTCAGGTCACTCCTTCAATCTAGCCTAAATCTGTAGGGCTTTTTTCAATCATTTTATCATCCGCCAAAATAATAAGTCAGATTCCTAAACCGAAAAGTAATGGCTATAGTAATAGTATTGCTTGACCTAGCCAGCACCATAAATGCATAAGCATGCTATCAAAAACACATTAATTTAGAGATGTTTTGTTGCTTTTATTGGACGTTATTTGAACTTTATTTGAGTTTTTGGATGGTTTGGCCATTCTATACTACTACTTTCAACAAACTGACATGCATGGACATTTTTTGCTGTTTCCAAACATTTTCCTGCTTGATTATATTGACCTCTGCAATCTCGAAAAGATTAGCCTTCCAGTCTGTATGGTTATTTATAGAAACCCAAACAAAAGTGTGGTGCACGCCAGAGGCTTCTTAGCTCAGCGGGGGCTGCAAGTTACCCTCAGTGTACCAGACCACTCAAGCCTCCCTAAAATACATGGGTTTAATCTCCAAGCATCTGGTGTTTAAGGCTTGTCTGAGAAGGAGATTCTGCCTCACTCAAGTTTGATTAGTCATTTTATCTTAACACAGTTACCTGGTGTGTTTTTCCTCCCTCATTTTGGATGCATAATGTCAACTGACTGCCCTTTAAGGCTCTTAGCTTGATATGCTTCCTGAAAATGTTCATTGCATCACAGTATAAGACTGTGTTTTAAGTTGGTTACTCTTGCATCCACTAATTCTTTGCCCCAAACACTGGCAAATCCTTCTACTTAGACTAATCTTATTATCTGAAGTGTCAAGTGGTATTTATTTACCAGTTTGTGTTTCTCTTAGCTACATTTGGTTTGTCCAGTGGTAGTCATGTTTTCTAAAAGTTACTAAATGCAAGAGGTCATCACTAAATTATAGCTTAATTCATTTTTGTGTTGTCTGTTTGACTCTTCTTTGCCATTTGCATGTTAATTAAGGGGCCGTTTACACTTCAACTTTTTCAACTAAAAACGTAAACCGTTTGAAAACGGCTTTTAAAGTGCAAGTTTTGGAAAATGATACCGTTAACGTCTCCGCGTAAACTACAAAAACGAGAATTTGTGAAAACGGAAACGTCATGCGCATGCGTATCTACTGGCCTGGCAGGAATAATACAGCGTTTTTAGTCGTTTTCGTGGATCTGTGTGAACGGGGATTGTTTTGACAATGTTGTCGTCTGTACGTGAAAAACGCAAAGGAAAAACGTTTCTGTTTTTAGCACATCGTTGTCGTGTAAATGTACCCTAAGGTATGAGGCTTAATTTTCAGTGGACAGATGATCAAATTGGTAAAAACTTTCCATACATACTAGCCTACCCTGAAGGACGGACTGAAGGACGGATATCTAGAAACCAGAATATCATAGAGAATTGGGCTTTTTTTTTTTTGTCTTGGGGTCAGTAAGGAACCACCTAGCAACCACCCATAACTCCATAGCAACTGCATAGCAATGCCATTGCACTTTGAGTTTTGTATGGGTAAAATGTAAAAATATAGTTATACGTGCTGCAAAAAAGTGTTTAAAACCGTATGAAAAGGACATTTTACACAAAAAACCGACAATTTTCTTGTTAATGAATTGACTGATTCTTTCACAAGCACTTAGTTTGAATCAAAAGTCGCGTTACATCTTATTAAAGTGATCAAAGCAAATACGTAATGAAATATCGCTGGTAACTTAACTCGCATTGACGTAATAGATGATAGCCTTTACTTGAGAGACTGTATTGTTAGCATGACTCAAAGTCAAATGCAACCCCCTACATGCACACAAAAACACACCGCAGGGTTATTGCTATCAGCTTTTCAAGTCCTGAGATGATGTAATGCTCATGAACAGGCTCTCGCAGCTGTTAGCCGTTCCCTCCACCGTTCAATAGCCCTGTTAGCCTTACAGCTTTCCCATCATCCCTCACCCTGTCACGCTTTCAACTTGCTTTTATCACACACTAGGAAGGCTTAAGACTGTGCTATTAGCATATTGTTGTTCTTCTTCCAGGTCCTGCCCTTGGTTTAAGTGCTTGTTTAGCTATTAGACCCTTTGAATGAATGAGATTAGCTGTAATTTAGCCGTGAACTTGCAGTTGGAGTCGTTTGGAAGCGCCGCTGTCGGAGCCTGAAGGTGAAATTTGTGTTCCTTCATTTAGGTCCCAGCTGAGATGAGTAATGAAAATGTTCACTAGCATGCTCTACATACTTCACTGCAAGACTTTGGCTTAAATAATAAAATATAGGATTTTTTAGTGATGATAAGGAATGTTTTTAGACTAATATTGTATTGCACTGGTATTTAAAATAAAGCATGTCCTGTATTTTACGAAAGTCACGTTACATGATTTGACTGATTTGGACGTTAAGTCTAGGCTTTCGAGGGGCAGAGAAAGCACAGCGCTTTAAAGTAAAGGAATTGCATTCGCACAATGATAATTTTATTTTGATTATCACGTTTTCATAATTGTTGGACTTGGAAGCCAAAATCGATACCGAAACTAAAATTTGATGTAACGCATAGTCCTACTGCTGTTGAATTGTTCTTCAAATGCATCACCACGCATGCAAGACACATGATTGAGACGCATGAAATAATTTGGCCAATCAGCACAGCCATCTAGTAGGCAGTCATTGCTGTATTTTAACATTATTACGAGGACATAAAAGATCACAATCTCTTTAGTAGAGGTCCTGGGTAAGATTTGTATGCACTTCATTTAGCGGAGAATATCTCAACTGTTATAGACTAATATGACCCCATTGAACAACGTGGGATGTGTGCCAAAATCTCCACCCGGGACGAAAGTCCTGAAATTGACCACAATAGGTGACACTATTATCACACTACAGGTGAATGGGACTTTTTTTTTTCTTTATAGATATTCTCATACATTTCTACCAGTTTAATCTTCATATTAAGAGAAATACTTTTTGTATTACACTTTGTCTAAAAAATAAAATAAAATATGTAAATTAGGCAATATCTCATTAAATATGCATACACATAAACCCTTGAAGCTACATATTTTCTGAGGTGATCACAGTGTTCACAATGACCATGATGATATGGTCATAGAAGAATGTAAGCATTCTGATTTGATATAAAGAAAATGGCTAAAAAACAGTCAACCTATTACACACAACTACCAACATACAGGAATTGCCAGTTATTTATTAACCTAAACTTTAAAACGTCTCGGTTACGGATGTAACCCTCGTTCCCTGAGTAGGGAACGGAGACGTTCCGTCGGATGACGTCGAATGGGGTTCGCTTAGAAGCCTCTCATCTTCGAAAGAAATAAAACGAGCCAATGGCAAGCAAATGCCATGGGTCTGCAGAATTTGCATGGCGCAACTCCGCCCCACCTCGTGGGTATAAAAGGAGAAAGCCGGCAATATGCAGATATGTTTCTTCTGCAAGACTGAACTCGGCTGTTCCAGCGGTACAGCGGAAGTGGCAGGCAGACGGAACGTCTCCGTTCCCTACTCAGGGAACGATGGTTAAATCCGTAACCGAGACGTTCCCTTTCGTTGTCACTCCGAGTTCCGTCGGATGACGACGAATAGGGTTACCAGTCTAATCACGCCACCTTCACAGCTGTCTTCCAGTGCCCTGCGTAAATCTGAGATCCCAGTCGTGAGACTAGCACGGACGAAGGACTCCAATTTAGCACAGGAATACCAAGGTACACTGGGGAGCAAATCCTATAGCTTAGAGGAATATGCAATTACTGCCAACCCAGAGGGGGGAGGGGACTTAGAGAATACACATATGACCCGGAGGGATGCATATGGAGAACACTGGGGTGTCCAGCCACAGGTGGAATATTTTAACCCCAGGGGTGGCAAGGTGGCTTGCCAAGGGAAAGACACATGCTCAGAGAGGCTTACAGTGGAAATACACATGTGGGGGTCGCTCAGAGGAGGGACCATGCACACGGTGGGCACCTAGCCGACGCGCAGGCAATAAACACTGGCGCCGACATCAGGAGTGCTGGAGGAACTCAGGGCTTTCGGAGAAGCTCACCTGAGGAGAATATCGCACGTATCCAGTCCGAAGAGTGGAATGGCGAGCAAGCGAAGACACCTGAGAGGGTCCGGTACTAGCTGGTTGAAGCGAGTACATGAGAGGACACTGGCTCCACTCGGAGATTGTAGAATCTGGCGAATGTGTTGGGTGTCGCCCAGCCTGAAGCTCTGTTAGCGAGGCGCCATGCGCTTGAGACCAAGAGGACGCCACACTCCGGGTGGAGTGGGCAGTCACACCAAGGGGGCACGGTCGACCTTGCTGCTGGTATGCCAAAGCAATGGCGTCCACTATCCAGAGAGACAGCCTTTGCTTGGAGAGAGCCTTTCCCTTCAGCTTCCCACCATAACAGACAAAGAGCTGGTC